TATATATACATATATATATATACATATATATAGATATATACATATATATACATACATATATATACACATATATATACATACATATATATACATACATATATATACACATATATATACATATATGTGTATATATGTATATATATATATATAAAATATAGGAAACTATATGTGTGTATATACCATATGTACACTGTACAAAACAGTACCTGTAATAGAGTTATTGCAGATGTTTTTTGTATATGTTTTTTTGTGCTTATTGTATTAAATGTGGCGAGTTGAGAGAGACAACAAAAATACACAAAATACATGACCGACCGAAGTACTGTAGAAACTGAAGTACTGTAATACTTCCCTTCAAATCTTCACCGTGACTGGTTTGGTTCAGTGTTTGTTCAGTATTAATTTGCAGGAATATATTTGCAACAGAGAATAAATAAAAACCAAAAAAAACCCAATTGATTTTTGATGTTAAATTATGTGTCAGAATAAAATAATATAAATAACTATAAATAACAATAAGTTTATGTTTTCCCCTTTGTTTACATGCAAAGAAGAACAAGTATATAAGAAAATATTCATATATAATGAAATATCACATGAAGAAAACATCACAGATATAAAGCATATGTCGATTTTTTACTTTGAAAATTCTGAAGAAAACATCACAGATATAAAGTATATGTCGATTTTTTACTTTGAAAATTCATCAAGCGGGCAGGATTGATCCTCCTAGTGGGCCGAATTTGGCCCGCGGGCCGTATGTTTGACCCCCTTGACCTAGAGCATTTGATCTGACTGGACGTCCTTTTTTTTTTTTCAAGCCCCGCTGTCCCCCATACGGTGCACTAAAGCAAACATGAGAAGTTCGGTCGCAGACCATATTAGGAAAACACACATCTCAAACGGCCTTGTCTCGTCTCCAGTGGTTTCCTTACGCGCCGCGATCGTGCTCGTACAAATCTAGATGATGTCGAGTCAGGCGGTGTATTCAAAACAACGACAATGTATGAAAGCAGGCTCCAACTGGCTTCCGCTGTGAAGCGATAACATATTCGAGACGGATGGCACACGTCGCGCAAGTGGAAGGAAATTGGATAAGTGATTTCAAGCAGGTGCTTCATTTTCATCTCAATCTCCAGCGAGGAAGCGCCGCAGACGGCAGGCTCTCACAGCTAATCTGGAGGTGCTAAAAAATTAAACAGCACCAATCTAGCTGGAGATTTCTGATTATGCCCTGGTCCTTCATCCGCAGACCACTCTCAATCGCAATTTCGCTTTCATTACCTGTGGTGCTTTCATGGACTTAAAGTTTTTTTTTGTTTTTTTTTTGTTTCAGCCAGACTAACCGTCATCTGCGGTGTAGCAGAAAAATATCAAATAAGCAGTTCAAAGACAGACATATTCTCTTTTATCTTTGTGTTTTTGACAGGTATCGATCAGGAGACGTAAAACTAACTTTTAAAAAAGTCCCACTGATGGGTAACAGATAAAACAAACAAAAATAACAGAAGTTCTCAGCAGCAGAGTGTGAGAAATTTCGGTGCCGAACGGGTCAAACAACCAATGGTTTATATCAGGCATGGGCAAACTAAGGCCCGGGGGCCGGATGCGGCCCGTTTAGTTTTTTAATCCGGTCCGCCAAACTTTTCCAAATTATATAATATATATATATATAAATATATACAAATTTATTTATTGTATCATCATATTTCTGCCTTTTCCCTGCAATACCCACGTTTATCCAATAGATGGCATAGAAAATGCTAATATGATCTATCTGCTCCTGACCTGGCCCCCCTGTTCAATTTTAGGACAATTTGGACAATTTGTGGCCCGTGAGTCAAACGGTTTGCTGCCTGGTTTATATTATTGATGAGTCTGTCGTTTCGATTCTGACCTTCATACACATTAAATACTTAACACACAAATCGCAGGCATGCGATTGTTTTAGATTCTGAAACATTTAAATCCATCCAAATGCTGCCTCTTACGTTCCTGACGTGAACCCACCTGTCTCGGGACCCTGCTCAGGATCCTGGTCTTTCTTCTTGTCCGTGATGTCCTTGTGGGACACAAGGAAAAGAACCACCTCTCCCTTCTCATTCTTGATTGGCACAATGTCCAGGAGACACCAGAACTGCGTTCCTGCGGAGAAGACAAACGGAAATCACTGTAGTTGTTGATCCTGCTCTTCAGCTCATCTGTGAATGTGTCAAAGTTAAATTTCACTCCTTGTCAGTTATTGGTTTTGAAGGGCAGACATCGGTGCAGATTTCCGTGAGGTATTTCTCCCAAATGTTTTTTGTTAGGGATGTCCGATAATATCGGTCGACCCAATATTAGCATAATTACTTGATAAGAATCGTTATCGGGTTTTTCCTCGGATAATGATAAGCCGATAACGCAATGCCTAGGTTTCGCCAAAAATCCTGAAATGTCTCTACGAAATGTTATTTTTTTGGACAAGCATTGTTCATTTGTGGAAGCGAGAGTGGAGCATCACAATATCGGAAATGTGAAATATATAAGCGTTTCGACAATATCGGCATATCGGATATTTGGCAAAAAAGTTCAAATCGGACATCCCTAGTTTTCTGTTTATCTTTTTCATTTGAAATCACACGACTTGGACATCCACAGAGTCTTCTCCTCATCAGCGCCCCCATCAGTCTTCTGATCACGTCCCACAGCGGTGGACCCCTCTGCCATGGTTTCACCGTTCGCCTCTAGGCCGTGTTATTTTTTATTCATGGGTTTTTTTGGAGTTACTGCAGCTCCAAAAAAAAACCGCTGGTCTCATCTGACCAGTAGTCTTCGAGAAGCTTCGGCTGAACTCATGCACAAAATAAAACAGTAACAACTGGTCTGCTAAAACAGTCTGTGAAGATTATTACATACAGGACTGTTGAAAGTAAAGGTACAAATCAGATGGTCGGTTGGTGAGGATGGATATACGTATAGTGTCCAGGTGGAAAGTAACTAAGTATTTACTCCCGTTACTGTAACTGAGTAGTTTTCGTGAGTAATTTGTAATTTTTTAAGCAGTTTCGGGAACAGATTATTGTATTATATATATACATACATATATATATGTATATATATATATATATATATACATATATATACATATATATACATATATATGTATATATATATATATATGTATATATATATATATGTATATATATGTATATATATGTATATATA